CTCCCCCCTCTCTCTCTTCTCTCTCTCTTTAAAAAAAATGGCAAAACTATTTTTTTTTTATTGTAATGCCAGTATTAGAGAATGGAGACAGAGGCCCCTTGTACTCAATCAGTAAGGAACTTAAATTGAAGTATGCTTTTTGGAGATTAATTTGAAATGTGCATTAAAAATCATTTTAAATGCTTATTCCCAGTTCTTTTATTTATGTAAAATTATCCTAAGGAAGTTATCAAATAGGTGGGTGAAGCATTATCCTCACCACCAACAACAACAAAAAAAAACTCTGTGGTATTTGCAAATGATAGCTTATACTGGAACTATGAAAATGTTTTATTTAACAAAAATAAAAGTCTTTATTGAACAAAAGCATTTTATTTCAGAAAATATTAATGATATATTGTGTTTATGTATGTCCATACACACACATATATATGGTTTACAGAATACACATATTCCATATTTTCTCAATTCTAAAACTCCATTAATTGTGACATAACCATGTAATAACTGTTAGGAAAACCTTTTTCAGGAACATTAGGATAGAGTAAAAGTACATCAGATGTTTTCTCTAGGATTACATGATCTATAAGTGACTGATTTTCTTCCTTATACCTTTCTGAATTACTGAAAATGACTATGGCATATATTACTAAGGTGATTATTTTTAATGTATAGAATCTCATGGGTTTATTAAAATTAATGGCAGTTGATTATAATTCAAAAATGTAATTTTGAGGTTGGATGTGGTGATGCACACATGTAGTCCTAGCTACTTGGAAGGCAGGAGGATCATTGGAGCCCATGAATTTAAGACCAGCTTGAGACCAATTTAAAAAAAAAAAAAAAAGCTTGAGCAACATTGCAGGACCCCTACACACACCCCACCCCCAATAAGGCAATATTGAAAATGTGAAGATCATACTGTTTTTTCTGAGTATTCCCTTTGAATGTGACAAACAGAATTAAATGTATTATTGTATGTTGTTTGAATCTTGCATCTGATTGCAGCATTTTCTTTTAGTAAGTACCTTTTTTTTTTTTTTTTTTTAAACACAAGAAGCTGAAAAGAGTGAAGATTCGTCAGGTGCTACTGGCCTGTCAGGCTTACATCGCACATACAGCCAGGACTGCAGCTTTAAGAACAGCATGTACCATGTTGGAGATTATGTGTATGTGGAACCTGCAGAAGCCAACCTACAACCACATATAGTCTGTATTGAGAGACTGTGGGAAGATTCAGCTGGTAAGTTTATTTTAAATCAAAGGTACATTGGGAAGATGTGGCTCTTTTATTTCTTCTTGCTCCTCAAGAAAGAAATTTTAATTCAGATATTTTATGCCTTCCAATTATAGTTTTTCTCTTGTCTCAATAAATGTAATCATATCAGTAAATGTGAATACATACCCTCCTTATAAACCCCGAGTGTAACACTGTTGGGCAGCATCAGTGTCATAGTTGAATGAGAAAAATAAGTTTTTTAAAATTTAGTTGAAATTTATTCATTCAACTGATAACCTATTAAAAACACATTTTGAACCAAACGCTCTGTAGGATGGCAGAGATTCAGAACAGAAAGGTTTGGGCTGGAGGTAAGAAAAATAAATTATTATAGAAAGACATTGTGCTTTGGCTTAGAATTTGTCATTGATAAATCTATCTAGAAAAATGGCCTTTGAGACATGGAGAATGAAGAGAAGTTAATTAAACCAGCCAAGTGCAACTCAAGAGGCTGAGGCAGGAGGATCACAAGTTCAAAGCCAGTCTCAACAAACTAGCAAGGCCCTATGCAATTTAAAGAGACTCTCTCTCAAAATAAAAAGGGCTGGGAATATGGTTCAATGGTCAAGCACCCTAGATTCAATCCCTGGTACCAAAAAAAAGAGGAAAAAAAGTTAATAAAACCCAAAACAGGGGAAAATGTAATCCAGGCAATCTAGTTTTGTCAACTGCCCATCCTGAGATATTTTTTAATTCCTTCAGCTGTATGCTATGTTCTTTGGTATATCTGTATATATCCTTACTAAACCACAGAACTTAAGTGTGTGTTGACCCCAACAGATCTCATTGCCTTTGTTTTTCTACATAATGCATGTCTTTGAATGTAAGCGGAAAAGTAGCTTTTTTTTTTTTTTTTTTTAGTTCTCCTTCTACTTCACAATTTTAAAGTATAATTCCTTATAAGGTAATTATATTAAGAAATTAGGAAATTGTCTTCTGAAAAAGCACAGTGCTATATGTTTAGACCATGGCATAATGACTTGATGGATTATTTCCTCATTTTTAAAAAATATATTTTTTATTTTTATTTATTTTTTTAAACAGTTTTTTTTTTTGTAGTTGTAGATGGACATCATCACTTAATTTTGTTTATTTTTATATGGTGCTGAGGGTTGAATGCAGTGCCTCACGTGCTAGACAAGCACTCTGCCACTGAGCTACATCCCTAGCCCTTAAAATATATTTTTTAGATTTTTTTTTTTTTTAGTTGTAGATGGCGCAATACCTTTATTTTATTTATTTATTTATTTATTTATGTGATGCTGAGGATTGAACTCAGTGCCCTACACGTGCTAGGCAAACAGTCTACCACTTAGCCAGCCCCTGTTTCCTCATTTTGACAAGAATGTGTGGTTTCTGTTAATGATGATTCTCTCTCTGTTTTTGAGGTGAAAAATGGTTGTATGGCTGTTGGTTTTATCGGCCAAATGAAACATTCCATCTGGCTACACGAAAATTTCTAGAAAAAGAAGTTTTTAAGAGTGACTATTATAATAAAGTTCCTGTTAATAAAATTCTAGGCAAATGTGTGGTCATGTTTGTCAAGGTAAGAAAATCAATTAGTTCTAAAAATATCAATCATTTGCTCGGGATAAAATTTAAACTGTTTTTAAGCTGTATCTGTATAGCTCTATGTGGAGATTTGGGGAGAAATTAAACAGAATATGGTTGCAAAAGACCATTTCCTGCCTACACTTGTTAACTGTGTGAAGTTAACTTATTGCCAGGCTAATTTTAAGAGTGATATTTTCTGAAAATAATCACTATACATTATTAGTTTGGTTTTTAGGTAATAAGATGTACTTTTTGTTTATCTGTCTGATAGAGGTACATAAGTCCTGTCCAATGCTGTTGACTTCTAACTCTGTGAAATATTAATATATTCTCAAAGGGTAATCAATAAGCTAAATGGAATTGTTCATATTATAAGTTAAAGGGTATATGTTTAATCATTTCAGTAGGCAAGGAAATATTCCTAGATCTCTAGACATTTATTGGTTTGTTGCTAGAAAGTCTTCATAGTTTAACCTTTATTTGGTTGATTAGTATTACTTTTTTGTTTTTGTTCAGAAAATTTACCTGACTTGTCTCGTTTTATGTCCCATAGGAATACTTTAAATTATGCCCAGAAAGCTTTCGAGATGAGGATGTTTTTGTCTGTGAATCACGGTATTCTGCTAAAACCAAATCTTTTAAGAAAATTAAATTGTGGACTATGCCCATCAGTTCAGTTAGGTTTGTCCCTCGAGATGTACCTCTGCCTGTGGTTCGAGTTGCCTCTGTATTTGCAAATGCAGATAAAGGGGATGATGAGAAGAATACAGATAACTCAGAGGACAGTCGAGTTGAAGATAATTTTAACTTGGAAAAGGTATGTAGATAACAAACACACAAAAAAGAATTTTACACCTCCAAATATCTGTTCCAGAAGACAAGTGATTAAAGTATTCAGACTCAGAAAATGATTGACAGTATGAAACCTTAGCCAAACAGAGAGGAGGAAACTCAGAGGAAAGGGAGGGGGGGACGACTCAGTACTTAAAAAAACAAAAGAGTAGAAGCAAAAAATAGAGTTTAAAAAGTAAATCCAGAGACTGGAGATGTAGTCACTGGTAGAGTACTTGTGTAGAATTCTTGAGGCCCTGGATTCATTTCCCAGTACCATAAGACCAATAATCTTTAAATAAATAAAAGTAAATTTAAGAGCTAATTCTTTGACAAGTCCAATGAAATAAACTATCAACTCTCTTAATAAAGGTAAAAGAGGCCGAGTATGTTGGTGTACACTTGTAATCCCAACAACTTAGGAGGCTAAGGCAGGAGGATTGCAAGTTTGAGACCAGCCTCAGCAATTTAGCCAGATCCTGTCTAAAAATAAAAAGGGCTGGGGATGTGGTTCAGTGGTAAAGCACCCTGGGTTCAATCCCCAAAAAGTTCAAAAAAGGTAAAAGAAGATAGGGAGGGCAATAAGCTCAGACAGACAAAAGGTGAATGAAATTTAGTCAGTACATTTTAAATAAATTTGGAAACCAAAATAAAATGAATAATTTTCTAGGATATGAATTGTCAAAGTGGAATCAGGAAGAGATACAGCACAAGTGAACAACATGAAGAAACTGAAAGTGTCAAAAAGCTAATCCTAAATAGTACTGAGCTTTCCTTTATTTAATTGAGGGGCGTTTAATTTAAATGCTATTTGAACTGTTTCAGAGCATGGAGAAAAAGAAAACTCCCCAGTTGTTATAAAGCCAAAACAATCTGGATTCCACAATTTGAAAATAAAAAGCAGAAAATTACTGCTCAGTCTCATTTATGAAAACCAGGCCAAAAATTTCTTAGGGGAAATTATTTTTCAAGTGAAATCAAATTATTTTTTTAGAAAACTTGACCAAAGAAAGAGGAGTACATTCTAGGAATGCAAGCATTGTTCAAATTACAAAAGTCTTTACATGTCATTATGTTAATAATTCTGTGTAGGTAAGCATGAATTATATTATTTAAGCTTCTGAACAATTCTGTTTGGGGGGCACACTGTCGGTGATCTTTATATTATAGATGGGGAAACTAAGGCACAAGAGGTCAAGTAACTTGCCCACCCTCACAGCAGCTAGTAGGTAACAGATCCAGCAGTTTATTCAAAAACATTATGAGTGTTGATGACACAGGTTCTACTATACCTTTTCATGTCGGCATAAATAGTAAGACTTTAAAGACTGTCAGTTGTTAATGTGAAGAAACTAAGAGGCAGCAGAGAGTGCCAGGCTTCTAGCTTTAGCTCTCTTCTTTCTTCTATATTTTTTTCCTAGAGTAGAAGTGTACTCCTTGGGTTGGGTGATAAGAGACCAGATTGGGAGGATTAATGGGCCCTTAGGGGCAGAATGGCAAAAAGGGAGGAGTCCTGACAGGGAAGGAAGGCTTCTAACGTGGACTCTCTTCCTTTCCACTCTGGGTGGTGTGGGTTCCTGTGGCTTCTGCACCTTCCACATTCCTGGTCTGTTCTTACCTACCTTTCCAGGGATGTTTAACTAGTCTCGAGAAGAGAGGGTTGTATCAGGTTTTCCAAAGCCAATCTTATCCTGTCACTCTGGTGCATCTCCTAAAATTTGTCTGTTCTCCTCTTTCCTACTTTGTCTGGGATGAGTTTGCTGGGCACTTCTGTGGTGTGAAGAGGGAGTCCTCCTGTTGTCCTGATGAGTGAATCTCCTGGTCAAGGGAGTTCCCAGTTGTCTTGTTTCTTCAAAGACTTAATCAGTGGTTAAAACTGAAAAGATGTAGAGGGAGACAGGCTCTTTCTGTACCCAAATAAGTCACAAAGGCTGGGCAACTACCAACTTACTTGATTTCTCGTTCTTGGAGGTGACAAAAAGGAAGTATTACTTTTCAGAATGGACAGTAAATGAACTTTGCCACCCTAAAAATTGAATGGCTGAATTTATATTTAAAAAAAAAAGTTTAAAAACCAATAAAAGGAATTGAGGGAGCTCAAGTAAGTACAATAAATGGGGAGCTTATATGAAGTTTGCTTCTTATACACTCTATCTATAAAAGTATGTGAAATTTTCCAATTCTAAATGCTAATAAGTCCTTGCCAGACTCAAAGATACAGAAATTGGAAAGAGGGAGAGGGGATAAAAGCATCTTAGGCTAACGTAATTTTATGAAAATTATCTAGAAATTTTAATGATTACAGCAGTTTTAATTTCAACCACCTAATTTTTTGGTTTCTTAACCTTCATCAAAACTTCTACTTAAGTTTTTTTTTTTTTTCCTTACATTGATGTGAAGGAAAGTCCTGCTTTCTTTTCTTCTCTGTCCTGTCCTTCATGGTTAGCTGCTTTTCTTTAGCCAGTTTCCTTTACCACAGGAAAAAGAAGATGTCCCTGTGGAAATGTCCAACGGTGAACCAGGTTGCCACTACTTTGAGCAGCTTCGTTACAATGACATGTGGCTGAAGGTTGGCGATTGTGTCTTCATCAAGTCCCATGGTCTGGTGCGCCCCCGCGTGGGCAGGTGAATGTCCTTGAAATAGGGAAGATAAAGTTGACTCTGAGGTTTGGGGCTAGTAGACATGAATAATTAAGACATAAGTCCCCCCCCCTGGCAATTTGTCTAGCTGCTTTTCACACCATGCTTCCCCTGCTTTCACCTCTAAAAACACATTTTTTACATTCTTCCCACCATTTACTTAACTCTCAGCTCAGAAATCTCCCTGCACATTTTGTATGGTAATTCTAAGCTTAAATTTGAAATAGTACTTCTTTAAAGAACCCTTTCCTTTACCTGTATACTGGCTTGTCTCCCTGTTTCCCATTCCCCCAGGCACTATGTTTTTCCTTGTTAGAAACAAGAGTCTCATGGGGCTGGGGTTCAGTGGCTCAGTGGCAGAGCACTCGCCTAGCATGCATGAGGCACTGGGTTCGATCCTTAGCACCACATAAATGTACAATAAAGATATTGTGTCTACCCAAAATTAAAAATAAATATTAAAAAAAAAGAGTATCACACATGGATATTTATATTGTCTAGTTTCCATACCTTGAATTTCCAGATACCCTGCAAATAGGAACTCTCTGTTTTTGCTCAACTTTGTATTCTCTGCTGAAATCAGTGCATGAAACATAGTAGGGGCTCATATATTTATGAACAAGTAAATTGATGTAAGGAAGGTTAGATGGCAAAAGTTCAAGGAGTCAGGTACTCAGTTGGTCATTATGATAATGGTTAAAAACAATGGTATTTGAAGGCTAGAGATGAAACTCAGTAGTAGAGTACTTCCCTAGCATGCTAGAGGCCCTGGCTTTGATTCCTAGTGCTACAAACAGGAAAACAAAACAAAAAACCCAGTAGTTGGTTCTTGGAGATCTTGGTTAAGCTCTGCTAGTTGCATGTTCTTAAGTACATGAGTTGCCTCTATTTTCTGTTTCCTCCTCATTGTACATCAATCAGTAACCATTTACTATATTATTTGCCAGGCTCTGAGAATACATTAGTTTATAAAACAGATGTTCTTAGTCCCATGGAACTTTGTTCTGGTGAGAAGATAAACAATAAACATCTTTAATAAGTAGAATTGTAGTGCAGTGGATCATGATATATGCTGTTGAAAAAATAGAGCTGGGTGAAGAGAGATGTGTACAGTGAGAACAGGGAGAATGGTCTAGAGCACAGGCCTCATTAAGAAGCTGGCATTTGAGCCAATGCTTGAAGAAACAGAAGGAGTAAGAATTCTGAAAGTACAGGGGAAAAGCATTCCAGGGAGAAGTGAACAGATTTTGTAAAGGCTTGAGAGAGAAGTATGCCAGGCCTGTTCAAACCAGCAGAAGTTGCAACTAGCAGAGTGAGCCAGGGAAGAGTAAGTTGGGAAGTAAGGGACAGTGGTAGTGAGCAAATCATGTAGGGTTTCAAAAACCATTGTAGGGACTTATACTATTATGGAGTTAAATGGAGTAACATTGTATTGTTTCAAGCACAGAGTGACATTTGACTTAGGTTGAAGAGGATTATTCTGCCAGCTGGTTTTTAAGAATAGACTATCAAGAGTAGGAACAAGGAGATCTTACAGGCCGTTGAAAATAATCCAAGCAAGAATAATGGTGTCTCAGACCAGAGTGTTGCAAAGTGTACTACCTTGAAGGTCAAATTAATAATTTACTTAATAAATGGAATGTGAGGTCTGAGAGGCAGGGTGACTTGTGTGTTGGGCCTGAGGAACTGGAAGGTTAGAGTTACTATTAGCTAAAGAGAAGATGCTGCTTCATGCCAGGAACCACAAGAATATGGGACAATAATATCAACTTTATTGGTTGTGAGAAGTAGTACAGTATCTGGTACATAGTAGCCATTGTTAATGTTTTGTTGTTGTTTCTAAGGAGGTGTTAATTGGCATTCATCAGTTTCTCAAGGAGTGAACCGGACTGGATCTTGACTTTCAAAAAGGTTATGAACCTTTGTGTTGAAGGAATGTCTGCCATTCATGTGATTCAACTCCAGATATTGAAATTGTATGTCTTTATTGGACTTACAGGTCCAATAAAAGATGCTTAGTTCTAGTTTTATATGCATATTTCAGGAAGAAAATCTGAGAGTCAGATAAAACTATTAAATTACATATCTTGATATTATGGTTATTTTTTTCAAATAAGTGGGATCCTGTGTTCTTTTTAAGTATCTTGTATGCTTAAAGGAGGAGGGCAATTAATGAAGTTATATAAATTTCAGTAAGACAAATACTGTTGAATGGCACATACTCTTTAAGTTTTGGCTAATAGAATTTTTACTAGATTAATCCTTCAAGAATGGAATTATCATGATGTAATTTCTCCATTTTCCCCCCAAGAATTGAAAAAGTGTGGGTCCGAGATGGAGCTGCATATTTTTATGGCCCCATTTTCATTCACCCAGAAGAAACAGAGCATGAGCCCACAAAAATGTTCTACAAAAAAGAAGTGTTTCTGAGTAATCTGGAAGAAACCTGTCCCATGACATGTATTCTGGGTAGGTATTTATATTTTTTTCATTTAATCCATTAACTGCTTAAAATTTGATTGAATACTGCTTTTGTGCTAGGTACTATTCTAGATGTTAGGTATATAGCAATAAGCAAAACAAAGTCTGTGCCCTCTAAAAGACTTACATTGAGGCAAAGGTTGGCGAGTCCGTAAATAAATTAAAGAACAGATGTATAGAATATCAAGCCATGGTTAGAGCTATAAATGAAAATAAAGTAAAAGGATTGAAGGTAGTGTTGAGACAAGATCCTTTGTTCAGTAAATGCTTTGCTGCTAGGTGACATGTGAACAGAACCCTAGAGAAGTAAGGAAAAAGCCCATTTGAATATCAGGTTTTGCTCTCTTACAGGCACAACTAAAAGCCGTAAAGTAGAGTATCTGGGCATGTTCCAGACATATAGTATGAAAATTGGGTAACTGGAATAGAGCAGCGGTATATAAGGGAATGAACTCTCTGAGGTAGCTGGGCATCCAGTCATAGTAGGCTTTGTAAACAATGGAGTGATTGAGCTTGGAGTGGATAGGAAGTCCTCAGAGGGGTTTGAGCACAGTGGTGGTATAATCTGGTACGAACATTAGAAGGAGGAATCACTGTGGCTCTTGTAAGAATAAAGCAGGAGCTTGGCACTGTGTACATGTCTGTGTTCCTAGTCTCTTGGGAGGCTGAGGCAGGAGGATCACAAGTTCAAGCCAACCTGGGCAACTAGAAAGACTCTGTCTCAAAATAAAAATGGGGATAGGGATGTAGCTTAATAGTAGAGTGCTTGACTAGCATGCACAAGATCCTGGGTTCCCTCCCCAGTACTGCAAAATAACAGGGTTGAGGATATGTAGCTCAGTGTTAGAGTGCCCCAAGTTCAATATCCAGTGTCACCAAAAAAAGGCATAGTCCGCTGGGCACAGTAGTGCATGCCTGCCTATAAGCCCAGTGACTTGGGAGGCTAAAGCAGAAGAAGAATCCCAAGTTTGAGGCCAGCCTCAGCAGCTCAGTGAGGTCCTAAACAATTTAGCAAGACCCTTTCTCAAAATAAAAAGAGCTGGGGATGCAGCGTCCCAAGTTCAATACCCAGTACCAAAAAAACCTCATGGGGCCTCTCTGTCTATGGAGAGATGGCTCTTATTTGTCAGCTCTGACAAATAAACTCTCCTGTGTATCTCTTTAAAAAAAAAAGAAAGAAAAGAAACTCATGGTCTGTGTTGGACTCTAAATCCTGGTAATCTTATTGTCGCTGTTGCATGTTTTGGTTTTTGTTCTATCATTCTTCTGAGTGTTCACAGTTATATTCTGTTTCCTACATCTGGTTGTATCCGTCATCATATTTTGTTTTCAGTTATTGTGTTCTCTTGACCCTGAGTCACCTCTAGAGCTTACTTACACGAGTTTTTACATCTTTTGTAATGGTTTCCTAAAATATTATTAGTCTCACAAGTTTTATATTGATGACTTGTGCTTTTTGTTTTCTTGTTCTGGAAATTGACCCAGGACCTCATGAAAGCTAAGCATGTGTTCTTATAGTGAGCTGTACCCCCCCTGATTGCTCATAGTTTGGTTGTTTTGATTTTTGTTTGTTTGTTTGTTTTGTTTTTGCAGGATTGAACCCAGGGACTTGTGCATGCTAGGCAAGTACTCTACCACTGAGCTACTTCCCCATCCTGTTTTATGTTTATTTGAGACAGGCTTTAATTCACTTGACTAAGCTGGCCTCAAACTTTGAATCCACTTGCTTTAGCCTCCTGAATAGTTGGGAAGTATATTATGTCAGGCACAAAGACCCATACCTCTAATGCCAACTACTCAAGAGGCTGAGGCAGGAGGGTTGCAAGTTTGAGGCCAATCTAGGCAATTTAGCGAGACTGTGTCTCAAAATTAAAAAATAAAAAGGGCTGGGAATATAGCTAAGTTATAGAGTGCTTTGCCTAGTATGCATGATGAGGTCCTGGGTTCATTCCCTACTACTGACAGAGGGTGAAGAGAAGATGTAATCCCAGCAGCTCAGGAGGCTGAGGCTGGAGGATGGTGAGTTCAAAGCCAGCCTCAGCAAAAGCAAAGTACTAAGCAACTCAGCGAGATACTGTCTCTAAATAAAATACAAAATAAGGCTGGGGATGTGACTCAGTAGTCAAGTGCCTCTGAGTTCAATCCCTGGTACAAAAAAAAAAAAAGAAAAAGAAGAAAGAAAGAAACTGGACATTTTGAATATTACAGTGTGGTAACTCTGAAAATCAGATTCTCCTTTCTTCTTAGGTTTTGTTGTTATTGCTTTTTATGGATTGTAATTCTTTGTTCAGTAACATTTTTTAAATTGTGTCTTTATTGTGTGTGGTCACTGAAGTCTCTGTTCTCTCAGCTTAGTGATCAGATAGTGATTTGACAAAGGTTTTCTTAAATGCCTAGAGCCAAAAACTCCCAGTTTTTGCAGCTGGATTCCCTGTGTGTGTTGGAGCACACCAACATTCAGCATTTAGCCATGCAGTTTACATCTCTACCTTTATTTCTTGCTTGCACAAAGCTCAAAGGTCAGCCACAGGTGAGAGTTTAGGGACTTCTCAGGTCTTTTCTGATCATGAACCCTACCGTTTACATATGCATGGCCTTCTAGGTTCCCAGATAATTATAGAAACTCAGAATCCTTATTTTCAAGTGGCAGAAGCAAGGAAACTGCCTACACTGCTGCAAGTGACAGGGGTGGAAGTGTCCCAACCATGGCACATACGGGCAGAAGATGACACTCTACTCACCTTCCTAGGGACCTTAAGAGCCAAGGTGACAGGTGCAGGGCCCAGTGGAGGCATCATGGTATTGCCACAGGAAGAAAAGATCTTTGTAGGCAAAGTACTGCAGCTGCCCACCAACGTAGCCAGTGATGTCAAGTGACTGGAGAAAGCAACTACCAATCCCTCCATAGAGCTCAAAGGAGTGTGCTGCCTCTAGCACTGTGTTTATAGGCGTTTAAAAGACCCTAAAAGTGGGCTTGGGGTGTGGCTCAGTGGTAGTGCGCTTGCCTGGCCTGTGTGAGGTCCTGGGTTGGATCCCCAGCACACACACATACACACACCAATAAAAAAAAAAAGAAAGAAAGAAAAGAATAAGAAGATCCCCAAAGTGTTAGTAACCCATCACAAATTAATATCTGCTTATTCCAGGAATGATACTGAAACAATCTCTGGAGAGAATATCCAAGATAAAGATGTCCCAATTATTCTAAAACAGATGCAATATTCCCAGCAGTAGCCATCTTGCTCTCCTACTGTATGGAGTGGATTGTGGTCTAGACCAACATGAAAGACTTATAGACAGAATTCTGGAAAATCTTGGTGTGAACTTATTGAAGGTGGAACAAATGTTATTAACAATGAACTCTGGCATGTTTGAATTATGTTTAGAAGGCAAATGTTGAGCCAGGCATGGTGACTTATTCCTATAGTCCCAAGTCTACTCAGTCCAGAGGATCACTTGAGCCTAGGAGTTTGAAGCCAGTCTGAGCAACATAATGAGACCTTTTCTCAAAAATAATAGAAGAGCCATGTAATCCCAGCAACTTCGGAGGCTGAGGCAGGAGGATCATAAGTTCAGGGCCAACCTCAGCAATTTAGCAAGACCCTTTCACAAAATGAAAAAGTTAAAAACGGGGAAAAAAAAATGTAGCCAGGCATGGTGGTACACATCTTTAATCCCAGGTACTCAGGAGGCTGAGGCAGGAGGATTTCAATTTTGAGACTAGCCTCAGCAACATAGCAAGACCCTATCTCAAAATAAAATGGTCTGGATGGGGCTGGATTGTGGCTCAGATAGAGCACTTGCCTAGCATGTGAGGCACTGGGTTTGATTCTCAGCACCACATATAAATGAATAAAACAAAAAAGGTCCATTAACAACTAAAAAAAAGTATTAAATAAAAATAAAATGGGCTGGATATGTAATTTAGTGGTAAAGTGCCCTTGGGTTTAATCCCCACTACTGGAAAAGGGGAAAAAAATAGAAGGAAGGAAGATGTTATATTGAACAAAGAGGAAAAAGAACAAGTGGATGAAGCTCCATGGTAGCATCTCATGGTGATGGACTTTCCTGAGAGCAGAGCCACAAGATCCCTTTGACTGAATTACTCTATACCATGGAGTAGTTAATTGAGCTTTCAGAAGGCCCAACTGTAGACATCTCTAATCAAGCAAAGGACCACTAGACAAGACAGGGACCCTCCAAGACTGCTACTGAGACTGATACAGTAAATAAAAAGGTCAGAGATAAGCCAACAAAAATCTTCAAGAAGATTCAGAGGAAAGAGAATTTGGAGCTGATGCTCAGTTTCATTTCCCTGATGGAGATGAAATTCAATGAAAAGGAAGTGATAGATACCTTCAGAATGAACAGCCGCCAGCAAAGTAGCTGAGAGACCAGTATCTCCTCTAGTCTTACCCCCAACACCTATTCTGTAGATTAAACCCAAGGGAGCTTTGCCACCCACTGAGCCACATTACCAATCCTTTCTATTTTTTTATTTTGAGACAGGATCTTGTTAAGTTGCTGAGGACCTTGCTAAGTTGTTGAGGCTGGCCTCAAGCTTCTGATGCTCCTCCCTCAGCCTCCCAGATTGCTAGGATTGCAGGTGTGCGCCACCAGGCCCTGCTCCAGCCCGGTTGACCTGAACAACCTAGTGGTACAGCTGAGTATGACCAACCCTAATTGAAGACATGCTATAGACCCTCTAAAGGTCCCCAAGTGAATAAACAATCTAGAAATAGAGCCAATCTGTGCTACAGATCTCTAGAATCTCTCAGTTGCTGAACTGCTCCTAGGCTGCACTGCCCCATTTGACTGGCCACAGCAACCTCCCTAGGAGTGGAACAGAGAGGGGCCAGAGTGGACCTTACCTGGAAATCTGCCTTTAGCATCCATTCTCATTCTCTGACCTCTTGCTTTGTAAACTTCTGTGGCAGTAATTTGTAAGGCCATATTTTTTGGTATCCAGTGATTGTTGATTTAAAAAAAAAAAAAATAATTGTTGTTCTGAGAAGTTGAACGGTTGTATCCTCAATGCCACTGTCTATTTCTAGAATTTCAGCATGCCAGATAGAAACTCTGTCCATTAAACAATAATTCTCTATATCCCACTACCCCTCTACCCCTAGTGGTCTCTATTCTATTCTCTGTGTAAATATTGCATATTTGCAGTACTTGTATACAAGTGAAATCATGCAATGTTTGTCCTTTTGTGTCTGGTTTATTTCACTTTGCATAAAATTTTCATTCATACTATAGCAGGTATCAGAATTCTATTCCATTTTAAGTCTGAGTAATATTCCATAGTAGATATAAACCACCTTTTTATTTATCCATTTATCTGTTGATGGACGTGTAAGTTTTTTCTGTCCTGAGTAATGCTGTTATGATTATTGGTGTAGAAGTCTCTGTTTGAGCTTCTGATTTCAATTATTATTTTCTTTCTAGTTGTAGTTGGACACAATACTTTTATTTATTTTTATGTGGTGCTGAGAATCAAACTCAGCACTTCCTACATGCTAGGTGAGCGCATTACTACTGAGCCATAACCCCAGCCCCTCAATTATTTTTGATATATACCTAGAAGCATAATTACTGGGTAATATAGTAATTCTGTATTGATTTATTTTATGTGTTGCTCAGGATCGAACCCAGTGCCTCATACATGCTAGTGCACTACCACCGAGCTACAGCCCAGCCCCCTATGTTTAATTTTTTGAGGACTGCCAAACTATTTTACACAGCAGCTACATCATTTACATTCCCTTCACCAATGTACAAGGGTTCCATTTTTTCTGCATTATCCTTCTTGACACACTTATTTATTTTACCATTGTCTTTTTTTGGTACTAGGGATTAAACCCAGAGTTGCTTTTACCACTGGACTACATCCCCAAGTCTTTTTGAGATAAGGTCTTGCTAAGTTGCTTGGATCTTCCTAAGTTGCTCAAGCTGACCTCAAACTTATGATCCTCCTTCCCTAGCCTCCGGAGTTGCTGGAATTATAGGCATGAGCTCTTGTGCCCAGCTCACTGTGGTTTTGATTTGCATTTCCCTAATGATTAATGATGTTGAATATTACTTAATGTACTTGTCTACCACTCAGTATATCTTTTTTGGAGAAATGTCTATTGAGATCCTTTGCTCATTTTTTAATTGGGTTATTGGTCTTCTAATTGTTAAGTTGTAGGAGTTCTTTATATTCTGGTGCTACCCTTTTCTTTTAATATTTACTTTTTAATTGTCTTTAGACACAATACCTTTATTTTATTTATTTTTGTGTGATACTGAGGATCGAACCTAGGGCCTCACCTCACGTGTGCTAGGCAAGTGCTGAGGCACAACCCCAGTCGGTAGCCTTTTACTAGATATATGATTCACATATATTTTGTTGTATAGGTTGTCTTTTCACTTTCTTAATAGTATCCTGTAGAAAACAAAAGTTTTTAATTTTGTGATGTCTAGTTTATCTTTCATTTTCTATAGTTTCTGGTGCTATTCCAGTGTCACATCTGAGAAATTATTGCCTAATCAGATGTCATAAAGATTTACATCTAGGTTTTCTTCTAAGAGTTTTGTAGTTATAGGTCTCACATTCATGTGCTTTGATTCTGAATTAATTTTTGTATGTGGTTTGATATAAGACTCCAACTTCATTTTTAGCATGTGGAAATCCAGTTGTCTCAGAACCATCTATTGATGAAATTATTCTCCCACCCCCCCCCCCATTGAATTATCTTTGGCACCTTTGTTGAAAATCAGTTGCCAACAAAACCCAATTGTATGGGTTTATGAAATAGAACTGACAGTACCCAAAAAAATTAATAATAATAATTAATTAATTAATAATTAATGATGTAGTACCCAAAAAAAACAATTAATAATTTTGTGTCATGTTGTCATTGGAAAGAGACCTCAGCTCAGTCTGGGTGGGTTCTTAATTTTGTTACTGAAGAAAATTCCAGGATGCACTAAAAGCAAGGCACAGAAATTTATTTAAGAACAACAGAGGTGTACACATTCCAGAGTAGGGTGCCCTTCACTTCTCAGAGATGAGTGCTACATCCTGAGTCAAGCTCTCTAATAATATATATATAATTTTTCTGGGAACAAGCACTTTTGAAAATAAAGGCCCATGACAATCATTTGCTATTTGGAGATCAGAATGTTTCTCTGTTATTATGTAATCAAGCCATAAATAATTTATAGGCATATTGTGTAAGTTTTTGAATCTCGTGACATTTAAATTAATTTTGTATTTGTTCTTGTTGGCCTAAGCATAATTGGAGGTTTCGTTCATCTGACTGAAGGGACAAGTATGACTGGTCATACTCATAGATCCAAGTCTCCATACTAAGACGTTCTTGTTCTTTTTCTTTTCCCAAAAGCCCACCTACTCATATCTCAGTATGAATGTATTAATTAAAAATTACAGCTTAGGGGCTGAGGTTGTGACTCAGTGATAGAGTGCTTGCCTAGCATGGGTGAGGCACTGGGTCCGATCCTCAGCACCACATAAAGATAAATACCATGTATTGTGTCCAGCCAAAATTTTTAAAAATTACAGCTTGGAAGCCTGAGGTAGGAGGATCATAAGTTCAAAGCCAGCCTCAGCAAAAGCAAGGTACTAATTTATTTAGACCCTGTCTCTAAATAAAATACAAAATAGGGCTGGGGATGTGGCTCAAGGATTGAGTGTCCTTGAGTTCAATTTCTAGTATCAAAAAAAAAAAATTAATAAAATTTTTAAAAAATTATAAACTGTGTCTACAATTTATTCCTTTAATTTCTTTCCAACTTGCTCTTTCAGGAAAGTGTGCTGTGTTGTCATTCAAGGACTTCCTCTCCTGCAGGCCAACTGAAATACCAGAAAATGACATTCTGCTTTGTGAGAGTCGCTACAATGAGAGTGACAAGCAGATGAAGAAATTCAAGGGACTGAAGAGGTTTTCGCTCTCTGCTAAAGTGGTAGATGATGAAATTTACTACTTCAGGTGACTTTTTTTTTTTTTTTTTTTTTGTACTAGGGATCAAACCTAATGGCTCAGGGGTGCATAACCACTGAGCCACATCGCCAGCCCTTTTTATTATTTTGAGATGGGGTCTTGCTAAATTGCTGAGGCTGGCTTTGAACTTTCGATCCTCCTGCCTCAGCCTCCTGAGCCGGTGAGATTACAGGAATCTGCCACCATTCCCAACCTGGTAGATCTTAAAAAACGAAGGGAGAAAGAATATTTCAGGGGCTGGGATTGTGGCTAAGCAGTAGAGCACTTGCCTAGCAAGTGTGAGGTGCTGGGTTTGATCCTCAGCACCACATAAAGATAAATAAATAAAAATAAAGGTATTGTGTCCAACTAAAACTAAAAAAAAAGAAAAAACTTAATTCATATCAAAATAGTATAGCCCAGTGTTTTGAGTTTCTTAAAATTTGGTCTTAGAGCAGTATACATTTCAAATAGAAAATATTAATTCAGTTAAATATGAAAAGAAAAGCTTTATAATCTGCTAGGACCCATTAACTGCTCTAATAGTGTCCTTGTAGCTGCCAATAATTATAAAATGAAGGCAGAAGAAGTTGCTTCATATGCTCTCCAAGGAGAGTGCTCCATTCCACAGATTATGAGGACTTTTTCTGCCATGTATAGAAAACTGGTTTTGACTTTGAGCAAAATGCTTCTGTGGGTGTTCCATGGGATCCTTCAAAAACAAGCTTTTCTAAGTAGAAGTGACTTCATAAATGCTATTAAATTCCTTTACTGCCTTTAAAGTATACACTGCAGATTGCACAAGTCACAATAAGTGACTTATTAAAAATCGATTGATTGATTGATTGAAGTACTAGAGATCAAACTCAGGGACACCCTATACTGAACCACATACTTAGCCTGTTTTATTTTTTATTTTGAGTCAGAGTCTTGCCCAGGCTGGCCTCAAACTTAAAATCTTCCTGCCCAGCCTCCTGAGTAGCTGTGATTATAGGTGAGCATCACTGTGCCCACCTGACTGTTTTATTTTTTTTAATGTTGCTTCTTTCAGAAAACCAATTGTTCCTCAGAAAGAGCCCTCACCTTTGTTGGAAAAGAAGATCCAATTGTTAGAAGCTAAATTTGCTGAGTTAGAAGGTGGAGATGAGGATGTTGAAGAGATGGGAGAAGAAGATAGTGAGGTCATTGAACCTCCTTCTCTACCTCAGCTTCAGACTCCCCTGTCCAGTGAACTGGACCTCATGCCCTACACACCCCCACAGGTAAAGGTGACACACATTCCTTTTACTTGTCTTGTTCTCAAGTTTGGTTTGCAGCTGGCACAAACCAAATTAAGGAGACATCCAGCCCTTCCATATATGAACCTCTACCTAGAATTCTACAGGGAGGGAAAAAAAAAAGATTTTTTTTTCTTTTATTTATTTATTTGTTTGTTTTGTTTATTATAAGTAGTCAAACACAATACTTTTATTTTATTTATTTTTATGTGGTGCTGAGGACTGAACCCAGGGCCTCACATGTGCTAGGCGAGCATTCTACCGCTGAGCCACAACCCCAGCCCCAGATTTTTTTCTTTATCAGTACCTTGGATTTAATTGTTTATATATTTATTTTTAATTGACAGAACATTTGTATTTATCATGTCATTAAGCTGTTAATAATTTAAATCTTCTTTGAGTTTTATTTAACTTGTTTAATAGCAAGTTCAATTAGAAGGCTCTCCTTGCTTTCTATTAAAGAAAAGCAGTAAAGGAATGGTATCATCCTATTATTCTTAAGCTTTCATTGTTCTTATTCTCTTGGGTTTTGTTTGTTTACAGTTCTGGGAATTGAACTCAGAGACTCATGCACTAGGCAAAGATGCTACCATTGTAATACATACTCAGCCCTTTTTCAGTTTTATTTAATATAGGGTCTCACTGAGTTGCCCAGACTGGCCTGGAACCCTTGATCTTCCTGCCTTGGCCTCTGGAGGAGCTGGGATTACAGGCGTATGCCCCTGTGCCTAGCCCACTGCCCAAATCTTTTAAATCTCTCCCTCCTTAGAACCTCATCTTTGGCTGAGGTGATTCCTGTTGGTATTTTTTTCTCATTCAGAATTTTCTCAAGCTTAATTATGAGGTCATCACTAGAGATTGCAGTCATGGAATTCGGTGAAACTTTGATTTATTTCTTACATGGTAAGAGGCAAGAAAGAGGTATGTTTTGACCAAGAAAATGGCCAGCTACAAACTGTGCTATAAAACAGTAACTTTTGGATCACATGTTCCTGGCTTCCAGAAACTCTGAGCGGTTAATTAAATGCAATGTTCTGATGCCTATAAGAGTTTTCTGTCTTACAGTCTACCCCAAAGTCTGCCAAAGGCAGTGCAAAGAAGGAAGGCTCCAAACGGAAAATCAACATGAGTGGCTACATCCTGTTCAGCAGTGAGATGAGAGCTGTGATTAAGGCCCAGCACCCAGACTACTCTTTTGGGGAGCTCAGCCGACTGGTGGGGACAGAGTGGAGAAACCTTGAGACAGCCAAGAAGGCAGAATATGAAGGTAAATAGGGACTAGGCACAACTGTCTCAGCCTTTGAAGCAAGGGGGTGTTTTCAGGAATGCACGTGCATAGACAGGTTTTACTCTCTTGTTCTTGCCACACACACATGAACCTTGTATTGGGGACTATTCCTGATGATAAACAGCAGAATAGATGCCAGTCTTGTTCTGACTAGGCAGATTGCTGCCCCTGACTTGGCCTCTGATCCTAGTATTGTCCCCTCCCCAAATTTCTCAAAAAAAATATTTTTACTATTAAAAATTGCATGATTTTCTTTCATTGAGCTCTGTAAGCACCCAACATATGTTGAGCTGGGGAATGACTGTATGATGATGTTAAATATAATTTTGATAAAAATTCATCCTAAAGGGGACTTTTGAAATCAGTGATCTTCTGTTTCTTGGTATGTTTAAACTCTCCGCTAAGGCTTGACTGAAGCACTTAATTTGCTAGGCAACTTGTGACCGGTGCTGTATTCATAGCTATCGTTAAGGCATTTGGGATCTCTTTGAGTTCCACTGCCTTTATTTTCTTTTTACTCTATAATTATATCACTTTGAGCCATGAGCTATGTATCATTCAAGGATTTGGTGGTTCTTAGTCATTAGGAACAAATATTTGAGAGAGATTTTTGGTGTTTTGGATGTTTTGTTATTATTATTGTTTTTAATATTAGGCATGGCTTTGATAAAGAAATTAATACTAAATATTAGGTTAGGCAGGACTTTGTACCTTTGAGCTATATTTTTTTCCATTTAGAATTTTATATAGAATTTTGATAGTTTAGAGCCATCCTCTTGTAATGATCAAACATTAGTCTTTTTGGCTAACTCCAGCAAATATAAATTAAATGTTAAGGCTGCCCTCTTTATTGAAGTTTATGAGTCTTCAAAGAAACTCTTTAAAAAAGTTTTGTTCCTTTCATTTGTGACAATTGATTATTATAAAATTAACTGGCAGGCTTCTTTAAGGATCTTCTGCAGAAGCCTAATCCTGCAAGATAATCAGAAAGCATTTTGTGGCAAAACCAATTTGAGCAACATTCCAAGCTCTTTATCTTCGAAACTTAAAGTGCATTTTCCTAGTTAGTCTGTAAGACCATTTTCCTAAGTTAGTCTCTAAAGATCCTGATTTTTATTATCTGGCATTTTCTGAAATTTGACCAGGAATTTGTGTACTACCTATTAATATCCTGAAGAACTATTCTTTAAATCCTAGTGAGTTCTGTAAGAATCTAGAGCTTTGATATTTCTGCCTTAGTGCAAATCAAGACCAAGTACATCACTAAGATGAAGGAGTGTTGGAAATTAAGCTAATATGGGTATAAAACCAGTTCCAAGGCAAATAAAGCCAGGACTGAGTGACTGGTTACTTAGGTGTGAATAAGATGTGGAGATAATGTAAAGATAGAAACACTGGTGCAGGGAGGAAGAGGTTGATGGCTTTTAGAAAGTTCTTATACTCAAATAGGGATCTCAAGTTTAGGAAGAACCTAGTGCAGGTGAATTATGTGACTATGAGTCTTACCTAAGACTCTGAACTTTTGGTCTCCCCACCCAATGAACTCAAAACCCAGAGTTAGGAGTTTGACTGGCTTAGTTGTAATGATTCTTTTTTTTCCAGGACAGCCCAAATGAACTTCTCCCACAGAGATCCAACAGATAGTCACAATATTTGATGCACAGGCCTGGATTTGTTTTTCAAACTTTTTAAATTTTTATTTATTTATTCATTTGCTTGTTTGGTTGTTTATTTATTTTGCTCTCCCATTTTACCATGTCCTTTGTATAATGAAAATACTAGAATTTAACATGGAGGTGTAGATCATCAATGGTTTTTTTTTATTGCTAGTTCAAGGAAATAGGTTGTTCAAATGGCCTTTATCAACCTCATGCTGGTGTTCTCAGTTTGCGGAGGGTGTGTGAAATTGGGAGTGTTAGTGAGTGGTAATAAGTCTCTGTAGGCAACTCTTGTCTCAGCCAGCGGCCTTTGACTTGCTTGACTTTCCCATTCTTTACCCTAAAGGAAAACTGGAGCTGTTGCTTCTCAATTTCTCTTTAAAGCTATATGACCTTGAGCTCTTTTCCCCTCCTCAGATCAGTAGTATCCTTTTGAATTCCATGTTTTGGAGTATTAGTGTGTGGCAGTTGACTGTGATTATCAGGAGTGGGGGTCATGGTTTGTTGGTTCTCTGTATCCTTGAACAAGTGACTACCTGTCTCCCATCCTCCATTTGCCCATCTGAAGAGTGGAGAGCATTTGCTATTTATGAATAGTGAAACAGAATAAACTGTGTATGGTGGGAACTTTGGGACTACTTCTCCAGGAAGGATCCAGCCTGTTAGGCTAGGAACATGACTGTTGGGTTTGCTGGCTCTGGAGATGCAGAGAAGTGGGGGATAGGGGGACAGGTAACAGTCCAGCCCAGAAATACCACAGGCAAATACTTCTCTTGCATTGTGGATTCTGTAATTCTTGCTGATTTAGGATGATTTATGGTCAGCTTTGAACTACTCAGCTTTAGGAAACCTGATTCTTTTAGAACATCGTCCATTGCTACGTACATTTATATATTAATTACCTGCTTCTGATTATTGTAGCCTGGAGTATCATACATTTTTTTCTCCCTGGGATTTATTAAGCGTGACCTCTTTGGTTCATTAGAATATAGAAATTAGCTGTTTACTTTCCCTAAAACAGGCAGTAAGCTACTTTTCCCTTACAGAGTTAATTTTCTTCAGCTGCTAAACCTATGATACTAATGATAAAGAGTCCTCAATCTCAGTAAAATTGAGTAAAATGGAATCAGGAAAATATAGTAAGTAACAATTGTGCCAAAAATTATAATGGGCCATGGAATTGCTTCATGTTGAAATTATAAATAATCTGTAATGCTATTAATACTAGAATAATGGTAGCGCTTCTCATCTTCAGGGTGCCTCGTGAGATTAACCACGGTGGTTACGCTGGTGATGTGTTTAAATAAAATCTGTGCTTTCTGAATGTGTGTTGCAGTCTTAACATTCTTGAAATCTTTGCAGACCAGTTCTCAAGATGGGATAGGAAAGCTGGATTCTAGGTTACCAAGTGAAATCGGCCCGACTCCTCCTGTGTTGAGACTAGTCATCTACTGTTCCTTCCATTGAGACAGAACTGTTGCCTGTGTTTTTACTAGTCCTGTTGAATGCAATGGATGGTATTTTGAATTCCTGGGTTAAAAACAGAATTGAAAATCTGAAATGCCTTTACAGAGCGGGCAGCTAAAGTTGCTGAGCAGCAGGAGAGAGAGCGAGCAGCACAGCAACAACAGCCGAGTGCTTCTCCCCGAGCAGGCACCCCTGTGGGGGCTCTCATGGGGGTGGTGCCACCACCAACACCAATGGGGATGCTCAATCAGCAGTTGACACCTGTTGCAGGTAAAAACAGGAGCTAAGACCATTTTTTTTCCACTTTAAGAAATTCCTTCATTTTTTTTTTTTTCTCCAAGAGGAGTAGGCCGCAGTCTGTAGCCTTTTCTCATGACAGATTCAAAGTTTGAAATCATCCATGTTGTCCTGTATTGCCTTTCCCATATGGGCAATGCTTTCCCTGTGCCCCAGAAATGGGCCCTGGGCCCACCCCTGGGACCTAGTAGGGAGCAGCTCTTCCCTGGCTGTGGGCATGGTCTGGTGATATTCTCACCCTAGACTGTTCTTGATAAAACACTACAGTAGAAAATATAAATAGACCCTAAGTTATATTCTAGAGAACTCCCAAGAGAAAACACAAAGCCAGTCTTTGGGTTGTGTTGATATTCTGTCTCATGCCAGTATTCAGTTCGCCTTGTTCTGCTGCAGCCATCCTTTAAAGGCTGACCATTTAAAAGGATTTTTGACAATGAATTGTAAATCCTTTCTTGGTCACCAATGTGCATGACTGCTAAATAGAATACAAAGTCCTTATTCAATTCATTGTGCCCACTCTGTAATGCTTTTCTATTTAATTACATTAAACTGCATTTTCTGTTAGTATCCCAGTCACATATTTAAACCAAAAGCAAAAAGAAAATGATGAATGTGGTTTGCTTGTGTGTGTTGTCTTTGGTTCTGGTAGCCTTAGCAAATCTGACTATTCTTGATTGAATATCTTTGTCTGACATGTCTCCAATGAGAAGCCTGTAGACCACCTCTCGGGCCCCTCCTTTGTGATCTCTCCAAGTCTGGTGAGATCTGTATGTGCCACCTGTGTTTCTTCTCAAGTAGTCTGAACTCTTTCACAGGGAACCCAAGACAGTGTTGTTCAAGGCAGGTTCATTGAGATGCTGTTTTTGTTTTGCTTTATTTTTGTTTTTTTGTTTTTGCTTTTTAAGGAAGAGTAGCATAGGTTAACTTTTCCATTGTTGCTCCTAACTTTTGTGATGGCAAGTTCTCAAATGCGCTGTCGCTGAACTCAGCAGTTGCACTCGCCAAAGCATATCTGAATCATGGCTGTCAGTACTTTCAGTGTAACTGATGTTGATCTAACAAATCTCATAATCGCCTGCTCTATTCCATGGCCCATTTTGGTTAATGGGGTTCCAGAAGTTTTTATAAATCAGGCCTTGAACATGGGGACTTTGGAAGTTAGAATTCCCTCATTGACATCCTGTTTTGTTCTATTTGATGTGATATTGTGGCACTGTGCCCTTGACTACAAAACCCAGGGACATATTTACAAAATGAATACAAACAGCTCAAAACATTTAAAAAAAAAAAAACAGCAGCTGCAGCATTTTAGCTCCCTGTTAGGGAATAACATCATAGAGCTCTGTGGGTGAGAACCTTGGTCCCTCTAGAAAGCCCCGACTCCATTATTAAGGGTGTGTTGCCCAGACTTCTGGGTGTTGGGAGTGAAGGGCAAGCATTCTGGATGGTAAGCAGTCTTTGGTCCACAGTGGGAACTTTGAAGCTAAGAGGGTGATTTTTCACGGGTTTACAGGTTGCTGAGGGCCTGAGTCTTAGCCTTGTCAGTGTCTGAAACCAGCTTTGCTTACAAGCATTGAAGCTCATTTGAACACATGTGACTGGGATAATAAATGCCAAAGTACAGTTTAATGAAGACAATTGTCATGTCTTTCAGTTCTTAATCTTCAATCACAGCCTGTGAAGGCTGCGTTCAGATGGGCTTTTGTAATTGAAAGCAAAGCCTCCTAACATTCTTAAATTTCTCACCTACTTATCCCTAAAAACTATACCTTGTGGTGTGGTTTAAAGGCAGTTTGGTAGCATTGGATCTCCTCATGTTTAGATGATGGCGTCTATTCAAAAGTACTTTTTACTCTCTGAACTCTTTAACAAATGAAACTCGTCCTGTTTCATGTATAGAAATATTATTTTAAGTTTGTTTTATTGGTTTGTATAATTGTAAGTTTTTCAGTCAGTTTTATATATGACTAAGGAAACAAAGTAGTCAATCTCAAGATTTTCAGTGATGTCATAGCTTTAAAAGACTGAACTTTTTATAAATAAATACTTTTGAATAATTCCTAAGGAAAAGTCAGAATGAAATTCTCAGAATCTGGAGTTTTCCACTGTTTCCCATAGTGCCTCTACAAAGAGTATTGAATAAAAACTAGGCTTGGCACTAGTCCCTTAACTCTCCCTTTGCAAGAAGATATGATCAAGTGACTGCACTTCAGGGGAAGCTTTTCAAAATTCTGTTCATCATGATCATTACAAATCCCAGAAAAGTCAAGTTGTTTTTCTTGTTTAAAAAAAATGCTATGTAATCTTAAAGGTTTTTTTGATAGGGAGTCCTTGACATTTGAAAATATTTTATTTTCACCCTTTTTTGCCAAAAATACTTGTTTACTGCAACTCTTCCCTAGCCAGCAGAAGATATTTGTTCTGTGAAGGTATGCTCTGAAAATAAAGGAACAAAAGCCTCTGTGAACAGAAATTCTATACCTTGATTAAAATGCTCCCTGTTAACTGAAGGTTTATATGACGACATTTGTGAGCTTGGAGACAGTGATGACAATTGGCATTTTCTCATGTCAGCAGAGCCTGATTCTCCAGCCATACCTCTGCATGTAGGTTTCTGAGTGCCCCCGAGCTTTGGTTGGCTTGGGAGGATTTAGATTTTTTTTTAAAAAAAACAAGTTTTGAGGTCTAAAGATGAAATATCATTCATTGTGATGCCTCTTAGAAACTTTTCCCCAGCTCAAACCCTAGCACAATTCATTCTTACCTGCAGTGGTGGGGCTAGAAGGGAGAAGGAGTAGATGTAAAAGCCTTGAAAAATTCCTGCCCCCAAGCTGGAGAACCATGCTTTCTGATCAGGACTCTGCACTTCATTTCCCTCCATTCTGATTTCTCCTCATGGGTACCCATGATAAGCATATGAGTGTGGACAGAGTGGAGTGATGGGGTATGTACTGTTCAATTAGAGTTGCAGTCAGCAGAACTGGTCACTCTCCTTGAACAGCTTGCAGTAATTTGGACTTTGGGAAGGCTGTTACTAGAACTCCTCTTCATTATTATTTAAGTGAAAACATAGCATATTTATTCCAGTGAAAATAACTACAAACAATAATGTACTAAGTACTAATTCATCTAGAAATGTGGGGTTTCATATGTGTAGCTTTTTATTTTGTTCATTATTGCAACAAAATAATTGCACTAATTACTGTTATATCATGCAGTACTAAGGGTGCTTTATTCGTTGATAGTGCATGTGGGGGGTTGTTATTACTTAGCTCATGTTGCATGTTAATGATGCATGTCTGAAATTTGTTTTGTCCTTCAAGGCATGATGGGTGGCTATCCGCCAGGCCTTCCACCTTTGCAGGGCCCAGTTGATGGCCTTGTTAGCATGGGCAGCATGCAGCCACTTCACCCTGGGGGGCCTCCACCCCACCATCTTCCGCCAGGTGTGCCCGGCCTCCCGGGCATCCCACCACCGGGTAAGAACTTCATCCTCATTCACTCATTAATCTCATCTTCGTATTCTCTTTTTCCTCCCTCAGCCAGTTCTTCCAGGAGACACCTGCTGCCCACTATGGCCAGGCTTCCCTCACTGAGTACCCCAGAGCTGTCAGCAACAGGGCCTAGAACGTGTTAAGCAGGTGGCACAGCACCTGTGCCCTTGTGGACCTGGCTGCCTGACAGTAGCACAGGGTGCAAGAAGGCAAAAGCCAGACTCAGCAGACCAAGAGGCAGGACAAATACTCAAATAATACAACATATGCCAAAAAGCCAGCCAGCCAGCCTAGAAATCTTGCACCCTCTGATCAGGGAATGAAGTTTCCCAGATTGCTAGCTCAGGGTCATATTAAAATGCTTTTTTCATCTGAATGCATTTTTTCATCTAGTGCAATTCTTACCTCACATGGTCTTCTGTGTAGAGTTCATCTCCTCATCAAACAACCCTGCTAAGGGGATTGTAGAGTTCCAAATACTCTTCAGAAATCCTCCCCTCACTGTCTTGGGAACAAAAAGGAAGGAGGGAAATAAATTTGCATTTAATTTTCTGTATCTGAGTCCCTTAAGAAGCATGACATAACATTTTTAAAGAACAGCGTAGCCCACCCTAGTAAACACTGATTTGTCTGTCAGCAGAAGTTCTTACATGTATAGTATATAAATGGAGCCCAGAAGTAGCTACATTTAGTTTCACTTTATAATGAATTAGCAAGCTGATTATTTTAAAGAAAAAGGAAAATTGTAGCTTCTCATATTGCTATCATATGCAAAAGAACTGACTCTTGGCTATAATCTATTAGAAGGAATGTGGCCTTTAGATAACTTGGAATAGTATTTGCTCCATTATCTAAGATAATCGGGTAAGAGCCCAACCCAGATAAAATGTGGTTGGAAACTTATCAGGTTTGCTTATACCAACCAGTCTTGGACCTAGAGAACATAGAGTTTTGCAGGGTCCAAACAATGCTGAAGAGGTTAGATACAGCAGTGTGTTGGGTTAACAAACCTGGTGGCCTGACCTGGAGCCTCCAGCCACACTCTTTCTGAGTACTGCTTAGATAACAGCTATAACTCCACTGAAGTATTTTTCCACATGTTCCTAGAGGAGGAAATGTTTTTGGAGGTAGGTGTTTCTCTCTGGAAATGGTGACCTATTGTGTGAATTGCTATGGCAGCAGGAGTCAGTCATAAAATAGGTGTTACCCGTGTGGTGGGTGGACTTGGCCTTAATTCTCTGCCCTCTCACCTTGGCACAGGGTATCTGAGTCAGTGAGACCATGTTGGAGTTGTTCCATTCTAGATGTATGTACTCAATGGGAAGCCATGTCTAAGGCCCTGGGTAGGAGCTGTCTTTTGGTGGGTGTGGGGCATACCTGTTCTCCCATCCCCTCTTTCAGATTCTAAATCACATTTGAAGGAAGCACAACACCCCTGGTTATAGTGAGGGAGACAGGAAAGAACCCCCTTGGTATGTACATGCACATGTCTAATCAGACTTTTAGGAGCCCAGGATTCAGGGAATTCCTGTGGTCACTCAGCTCACATTGTCACTGGCTGCCCCTGGCATGGCAGTTGTAAACAGAGGGAGAAGAGGGGTTTGCTAATTTGTTTGTGCTGCCCTGCAAAGCAATGATGTAGGCAGCTTACGGAGCCCCTTTATGTGTGGAGTCTAAGGTAGGTGAGTATCCTAGAAAAGGGGCTGGGTCTAGTAATATATTGCTGAAGCAGCAGTTTACCCAACACCACCTCTTCATTCATTCACAGATAACCATCAGGATCCTACTGTGATGATCCAGGTACACTTAAGTACTTGAAATATAAAAAATCCCTGCTTTTTAAATGGAAGTTTGATTTTACTTGATTTTTTTTCCTCTTAACATATAAGAGGATGCCTATACTTCCTGGAAGTGGCATTTAACAACTCTGAACCTTAGAATAATGGATTGATTCTGCTTAATCGAAGTGCCAGCATTTTTAATCCAGAGGAACTATAGATTTTGAAGTTAGTTCCTTCTACATAGCCAGCAGGACTTTAAAAATAGCTTAACATGGTTTTAGTTGTGGTTTGTTTGTTTTTTTTTTTTTAATTAATGGATTCTTTTTTTTTTTTTTTAGAGAGAGAGAATTTTTAATATTTATTTTTTAGTTTTCGGCAGACACAACATCTTTGTTTGTATGTGGTGCTGAGGATCGAACCCGGGCCGCACGCATGACAGGCGAGCGCGCTACCACTTGAGCCACATCCCCAGCCCCGCCCGGTTTGTTAGTTTTTAATGAACTGGGTCCCTTGCCAATTTTTATATTTTACCTGAATAGATAAAAATATCCTTAGATACTAAATTTAGGATATGTCATTGTTAACAATTGTGAGCAAACAATTACTAGTGAACATTCAGCAAGGGAAGTTTAATTATTACCAGAGACAGAATAAATATAGTAGGGTCATGAAGTCTTTGTTCTTTTGTCATTTTGCATCTGAAGCAATAGCAGCAAGACTACTCCACTAATACATCATCCATTTTCAGAGTACTGTTCTATCATTAGCTTTAGTGACTCCAGTTAGAACTAGATGCTGATAGTCTGCAAGGAGACAGCAAGGCAGCACCTCCAACCTCTACAAAGCCCAGTTAACTACTTCCACAACCTCTTCTATCATGTCCCTCCTATGTTAGCACTTTGCTTATTGCTGAGCCTGATTTCAATACCATTTCCACAGGCTGCAGTTAGAGAATAATGTGTTGTCGAAAGAAATGTACCTTAAAAATAGAGGTGTATTCTGACTATAACTCACTTACTGAAATACTAGAATTTTATGCAGTGTTCAAATCAATCCTAAACTATGAGTAATGGATGTACATCTGACAAGGTCTACTAGCATTGTGCATTAGGTACCTAGAAACCAAGGAATGCAGATTTTCTATTTGACTCTTGTTCTGGATACTTAGGTTTCCTATCCACACTCAAGGGCAGAGGTGCATAGGTTGGCATTATCAAATGACATCATTTCTTATCAAACAATAGTTTTTTTCATCATCTCAACCCAGAGCCTCTAATTGTATCATTGCATTCTGAATTATAGGTGTGATGAACCAAGGAGTGGCCCCTATGGTAGGGACTCCAGCACCAGGTGGAAGTCCATATGGACAACAGGTGAGCCCCCAGTTTGATTTTCCTAGGACTCAAGAGACTTCTAGACATCTTCCTTCTCAACAATGCAGAGTATCTTTTTGTCTCACCATGTGGTCACATATTCTTTCAGGTGGGAGTTTTAGGGCCTCCAGGACAGCAGGCACCACCTCCATATCCTGGCCCACATCCAACTGGACCTCCTGTTATACAACAGCCAACAACACCCATGTTTGTGGCTCCCCCACCGAAGACCCAGCGACTTCTTCACTCCGAGGCCTACCTGAAATACATTGAGGGACTCAGTGCTGAGTCCAATAGCATTAGCAAATGGGACCAAACTCTAGCAGGTAAGGAGAGTCCTTCTAAATAAGCCTTTGCAAAGTGTGTTCTTCCTCCTCATGATACTGTTAGCTCTTAACAAACACCCTCCACCTTTTGGGGGGGGGGCATAGGGGAGTACCAAGGATTCAACTCAAGGGCACTTAGCTTCTGAACCACATCCCCAGCCCTTTGAGACAGGGCCTCACCAAGTTGCTGAGGCTGGCGTTGAACTTGCAAGTCTCTTGCCTTAGCCTCTCAAGCCACTGGGATTACAGGTGTCTGCCACTGTGCCCAGCTAGCAGACATCCCTTTTTCTTATACCTGTACAATAAATTATGTCTTAGAATGGCCTAGAACTTCTTTTTACACATTGACATCACACTCTAAAAATGGGTTTTTAAACTAATTTCAAAGCTTTGTTTTGTTTATAAGCATCCCAACTGTCTTTTCAAGTATATTAAATATCTTTCAGGCATTAGTGTAGATGGCAGATTTTTAAAAAGAAAAACATCAAAAACATGTTCCCATTAGTCTGTAAGTTACTTCAATAGACTTAATGTATTTTCAGTACATAGTTTCTACTTATTCTTTATTTTAAACCAAATTTGATAATTTAAGAGTAGAAGGTATGATTTTCCCTTCACATATTTACCTTCTTAGGCACTTTTGTATTAAATGTTTTGTGGGCCAGGCATGGTGGCACATGCCTATAATCCCAGTGGCTCAGGAAGCTGAGGCAGGAGGATTACAAAGCCAGCCTCAGTAACTCAGCAAGGCCCTAAGAAACTTGGCGAGACCCTGTCTCAAAATTAAAGAGAAAGGGGAGCTGGTGAGATGGCTCAGTGGTTAAATGCCCCTGGGTTCATTCCCTTGTACAAAAAAATAAAAAACATTTTTTGTTTTCTGGCGTAATAAACCATCAGCCTTTTAGCCTTTAGAACCAAGAGACTTTTTGTTACCTTAAAATTCCAATTTCTGTTTTCTTTACACTTTAATTTTTAGCTCGAAGACGTGATGTCCATTTGTCAAAAGAACAGGAGAGCCGCCTCCCCTCTCACTGGCTCAAAAGTAAAGGGGCCCACACCACCATGGCAGATGCCCTCTGGCGTCTACGGGATTTGATGCTTCGAGACACCCTCAACATTCGCCAAGCGTACAACCTAGAAAACGTTTAGTAACAACATTATGTTTTGTTTTGTTTTGTTTTTTTATAGAAGCATAAAGAGTTGTGGAACAGTAGCCATTTTAGTTACTGGGGGTGGGGGGAAGGAACAAAGGATGATGATTTTTATTGCATTTTACTGTACATCACAAGGCCATTTTTATATAAGGACACTTTTAATAAGCTATTTCAATTTGGTTTTGTTATATTAAGTTGACTTTATCAAATACACAAAGATTTTTTGGCATATGTTTCCTTTGTTTAAAACCAGTTTCATAATTGGTTGTATATGTAGACTTGGAGTTTTATCTTTTTACTTGTTGTGATGGGACTGAAACCATCCAAGGTTTTGTCTTGGCTTGGGGTTTTGGGGGGTTTTTGTTTTGTTTTGTTTGGGATTTGTTTTGTTTTGTTTTGTTTTTTACAAAAGAAAAAAATGAAAAAAAAACACAAGAGTTTACAGATTAGTTTAAGTTGACAATGAAATGTGAAGTTGGTCCTAGTTTACATCTTAGAGAGGGTAGCGTGTTTGTATATGTTTCATGTGCCTGAATATCTTAAGCCACTTTCCCAAAAAGCTGTTTCTTACAAGTAAAGTGCTTTCTTTGAAAGGTTGTTTAGATTATGGGTGTTTGAGAGACATGGCACATTTGCTCTGTTAACTCAGAGGCTCACTATAGAAATCTGTGGTCAATGTTGTGTGTCCACCCACAGCCTGTGTGCCTCCCAAATTCCTGGAGGGAATGCAGTTTTTCTTGTGCCGAGTTAGACATCTATGGTGTCAAGTGGTTTTGCAGAACATGTTCATAGCCCTGAATTATATCTAGTCTTGGCAGGTAAGTTTAAGGGTACTTTTGATCTGTTTCTAATGAATTTGCAACTTATGCCTATATATGTTAGATGAGTTTGAAATTTCAAATCTATTACATTGAAAACTTCAAAGTTCATCTTGAGAAAAGCATAGAGGTATGCATGGAGGTGATTTATTTTTAAGCATAACACATAACATAAGGAAGGAAGTGTGTAATTGGATCTGAGCTGTGTCATGAGCATAATTGTGACATACGGTAGATTACCTGCACTTGCAAATGTTTCATAGTCATTGTTTCTTTATTATCAGTTGTGGCATTTTTTTTTTCTTCTAAGTTTCAGGGTTGTAATTCTCAATCAGAAATTTATTTCTTCCTAAAATATGTTTTTCAATTTAGCTTGTGCTTTTGAATTATAGGAGAAGGGAATCATAATTTAAGAAAAATGCTCACTAAAGAGACCATTATGGATCCCAAACACTTGGGTTTGGTGACCTCGTCTTTCTTATATGGCCCTAGAATAAACATTTGGAGGCAGCATATGCTGCTTAGATGGTAGGAAACTGCAAACATGGAACATTACTTCACTTGGTGGTGTGTTTTTGAAACCTGCTTTATTGTAACAGGATGGTTGCATTGTCAAGGTGAAGCTTCCACACTGCTGTTTGTAAGTTGAGAGAGGGTACTTTTTTCCTTTTAATCTGCTCTGAATCAATACCCAGATGTTTAATTACCATACTTAATAAATCATGAGGGCAAAAGATTATAGAATGGAAAAAGTCTGTTGTATCTAGATAATTACAAGGAGGCCCTTGTAATTTAATTGCCATTAGTCAACCACTGGATCTCAGTTTGCATCAAGTATTTTAAATAATTTTGAATTTTAAAAAATATATTGCAGTAGTATTTCAGTACCTTATTGTTAAACTGAATCAGATAAAGAAATCTCCAATTCCTGGTTATTTCGACCATTGAATCATCATGGACTGTGTAATGCAATCAGATTCTTTTCTTTTTAGACATCCTTGAATTACACCAAAGAACCTGAAACTTAATTTTGGTTAAATTATTTATTTATTTCATACATTCATTTTATTTCCCTTTTTAAGGTCTGGATGAGACTTTTTGGGGGAACTTCTAAAAACTCTTCACTGTGGGCCACAGGGGCACTTAGAAACAGAGCGCTCCTCCTCCAGGCTCCTTCCCAGTACCTTAGGAGCTCCTTAAGGCAGTGCAGAGCCAGCCCAGGGTGCCAATAGGCAGGCCCTAATTAAGTTTAAAAATAAAATAAACTATTTATTTTAGAATCATGTCTTTCTATGTACTAACTTGGAGAATATCAGTTAATATTTAGAATATAAGATTTGAGGTGAACCATCTTCCAAAAAAGAAAAATAAAAAAGTCCTGACATAAGAAAGTACAGGTAAACAGTACATCTTTTCTCCCATGAGTTTTAGGAACTGTAGTAATGTGGCTTAGAAAGTATAATGACCTAAATGTTTTTAAAATGTAAGTTCCTGTGGAGAAGAACTTTGTTCATTTGGAGGGAGGGGCCTATAGATTTAAAATAGAATGTTTGTCAGCTGATTTAAAAGGCCTTTAATTGATATTTTTTTTAACTCACCCTCCTCTTCCGATGAGGAAGAATTGAGGGGAGGACAGTTACTTGTGTAAAATCCCCCAAATTGATGGTATTAACTTCTCAGCTTGAACCTTTCCAGACCTGATTAAAATTTGGTTTATTCTAATTTCTGTATCATATCATCATCTGAGGTTTAAGTGGTTACTAGTCTTATAACATGTATGTATCATATGTTTGTTCATTTAAAGCTTTTTAATCCAAATAAAAATGGAGTTTGCAAAGTGATTTGGATTAACCAAGTTTGGTTGTTCTGTTAAAGCTGTGTCACATGTTAGTTTTGAGCAGATTGAAGAAAAGCAATCCTGCAAGCCCCAATTTCATGCTGATGAGGATATGACTGCCAAGTGGAAATGCAAAGTCATTATGCAACCCCCTGGTTCAGGGTTCAGGCTGCATTTCCACAGATGCCAGATGTATTCAGACTGCAGCATGAAGTGCCCCATACCATGTCATACCCTTTGGGTAGCAGTCAAGGAATTCCTAGCACTCCTCAGGATGGGCAGAAATGCAGATTGAAATTGAAGAGCACGTTTCTGAGAGCAGAAGGTGAGGGAAGCGTAAGTTCTAAAAATATGACTGTGCTTTTAATAGAAAATATTGGTTAAAAAAATAAACTATTCTCTCAGTATCCCTTCTGTTCTGAGTATAGAGTGGACTCCCATCTGTGACCATGAGCATATTTTGAAAGATCACTGATGTATAAACACCCCAGCTGAGCACTGTGAGCAAAAAGTTTCAAATATTACTCTTCCTTTTTTTTGCTTAGAAGTATGCCAGGTCAGCTAAATGCAAGAAAACTCAATACTAAACAAACGAAGACTGTTCTTTTTTCCCATTTTGGGTATTTGTAGTATTCGTGTCTTGGGGGTTGCACATAAATGTGGCAAGAAACTCCAAATTTAAAATATATATGTAGTCTAAGTACTGATACTGCTTGACTGGGAGAGAAATTGATTTAGAAAACACCATAGTACAAGAGTTAAATTTTTCTCAAGAGAGGTAGCTCAGCTGGACAAAGTGGCACACATCTATGTTCTCAACAACTGATGATGCTGAGGCAAGGGCATTGCAAGTTTGAGGCCAGCCTCAGCAACACAGCAAATCCCTGTCTCAAAAAAATAGGGATGTAACTCAGTGTTAAAGTGCCCCAGGGTTCAATCCCCAGTACCACCAAAATAGAAAAAAAGAGAGGTAACTAAGTGTGAAGAATTTGTACAAAAAAAAAAAAGAGGTCCAAGATGATTAAGTCAAAACATCAAAGATTTAGGTAAGGCTTCCAAAATAGAACTGCCAGATGGGACAAAAATAACCCTCTTTTATTTACCATTCACCTTATTTTTTTTATCAATTCAGATGATAAAGTGAAGCTTTAAAACTCATGATCTTTTCCCCTTAACATAGTGGAGCAGTGGAGATAGATTTCTAGCAATAAATGCTAGAAAAAGTACTGTAGTTCTTAATGTTTGAAACATAAGTTTTTAAAATTTTTGGCCTTCTAGTTCACACTAGGGGATACTACCATTGTACAATCAGCATATAAAAACACTGGGTTTCTTTTCGTTTAAATGTCTTTAAGTCAGGTAGAGTCAATATTCCTAGGGAGAGTATTAAAAAGATTTTTTGAGGTGACTGGGGGTGTAGCTCAGGTGAGCGCTTGCTTCCTATGCACAAGGCCCTGGGTTTGCTCCCAGCACCCCAATGCTGAAGAGTAAAAAGCTTGCATCTTGATCAACAAAGGTGAGTTCTTATAGCATCCAAAATAACGTGCTCTGAAAATGGGTCTTAAATACAGTCATTGCTTTACTAGTCTACCTGCCTTGAAATCGGGCATTATCCTGACATTTTCAAAGTTTGTTTTCCTATAATAAATCAGCATTCTGTTGGGTGTGGTGCAGGAGGACTGCAAGTTCAAAGCCAGGCATGGCCACTTAGCAAGATCTGAAGTAACTTATAAAGGACCTATCTCAAAATAAGTAAAAGTGGGGATGTAGCTTCTGGTAAAACACCCCTGGATTCAATCCCAACACCACAATAAAATAAATTACTCCAACAGGAAGTCACTTTTCTAGGAAAACCCTTGAGAAGAATAGCACAGAACTAATGATTGGGGGAAAAGTAGGGGTTAAGCCAGTTAAGGATTACTATAGACAGAAGCTGAGGAATGGTTTTATTGGCATTTATTGGTCTTTATAAAAGACTTGAGTGTTACATATTCTCTATATGTATCAAATATACTTCTAAAACTGGGAGTGTGTGAGAGGAAATACAGAATGTGGCTGTGTCGCTGAGAATCATACAGTTTATGCAGCAGTTCAATCACTAGTGTCAGGTTCATCACACTCCAGATGACACAACTGGGTAGGGGATTGTATGCAATACTCTACCTGATAGTGTTGGTCATTACTGGCCTTCACACTTAAGCCACCTCCCAGTGGAGATGCTGAACTCATAGGTAATCTGTGATGAGATCTGAGTAGTGATTCTTTATTTCCCAACATTTGTTCCAATATAAGATGACAAGCATGACTAGGAAAAAAATCTCTTAAAAAAAAAATGCAGGAGACATTTGTGCCAGAGATAATTAACTTTATTCCCTGTGGCCCTTGGCGTCAGCTTCTTTGTTCTGTCACAAAAGTTAGAAACTTTTGAAACTCAGTCTTCTTTAGAATATAGGTATTTTCTTATTTGCTAAGATATTGGATGTAGTTATCCAGGCATGTAAATATGCCTTTACTTCTTCCACCAGTGACCCAAACTTGTGCTAAATGGCATTGCCATATTCTCACTCAGTAGACTGCACCTCTGATCTGGATCAACTCTGTAGTTTCCCTGTCTTATGGGAGGGAGCAGTTCTCTATCTTTAGCAGCTGAATGAAAGAACAGCACTTTGATCATCAAGGGGCATGAATCATGGAGTCCTGCTTTCCTGTGCAAGGGAGTTCATAAGAGCACTAATAGCAATTAGTGTGTCAGGAATTCCCACTACCCTCCTGAAGAGTTTATAAACTGGTAGCAGACAGAAATGTAATCTGCACAATTTTCCTAGTTTAGGTGACCATAACAATGAAGATCTTTTATGTTCATGACTTAATTTTAATTCTGCAACGAAAGGTTACCACCAAGCATGGTCTCTAATATCAGCAACTCCAGAAGCTGAGGCAGGAGGATCAAAAGTTCAAGGCCAGTCTCAGCAACTCCATGAGGCCCTATCTCGAAATAAAAAATGAAAAGGGCTAGGGATGTAGATCAGTAGCACCCCTGGAGGTGGGGAATTGGGTTTTTTGTTTTGTTTAAAAAACAAAGAGCTTCACAAATAATTCAAACTGTACTGAAAAGCATCCTGGTTGCTGTATTCAAGAAATATTTCACAGGGTGAGGGGATGTAGCTCAGTGATAATACTTTCCTCTAGCATGTGTAAGGCCCTGGGTTTGATCCTCAGAACTGCAAAAAAAGAAAGTAGAAAAACATTTTATGGTACATGCCAATACTCAGGAGGCTGAAGCAGGCAGATCACAAGCCTCAACAATTTAGTCTCAAGAAGGGCCGGGTTGCCAGAGGCAGTGACATAGGCATGTAATCTCAGTGGCTTGGGGAGGCTAAAGCAGGAAGATGACAAGTTCAAAGCCAGCCTCAGCAATTTAGCAAGACCCTGTCTCAAAATAAAAAGGGCTTGGGTAAATGTGGCTCAGTGGCAAAGCACCCCTGGGTTCAATCCCCAGTACAAAAAAGGAACTAGGTTCATTGGATAGATAAGTAGGTGTTTTAGGAGGAATATTCTTTATATAAGTACTATCCAACAGTAATTTGGGAAGTACTCAAGCAGAGACTGCAAAACTATGAAAATTCTTTAAAAAGGCAATTCTTAGGATAATGTGCAGCTGTGAGAACAAGACTTTGGGAAGGGTACATTTTTTTTTTTAAGTTGTTGATGGACCTTTATTTTATTATATACAGTGCTGTGAATCAGACCCAGTGCCTCACACATGCTAGGCAAGTGCTCTACCACTGAGCCACAACCCCACCCTGTAAGAGTAAATTCTTGAGGAAAAAAAACTAGTGAAAATTCATATTCATTTTATTGATTGTTGAAGTTCAGTCTCAGATGTGTCATCCAGGCCTTTCTGATACTGTCTTTCTGAGGCTTTTCTTCGGTAGACATCATCTGTATTAAACAAAAACTGTGCTTAGATTTTTAAGAAACTGAGGAATTAAAAATACTCAGAATTCAATCAGTAGTCTCAAGTCTATTGCCTGTTTCTGAATTTCAACATTAATGTTTAATCTAGTGCCAAAATATAATTTAAAACAAAATGAGTTAAATGACCACTGTTTATGTAAGAGTCCTAGATTTAAAATAACAAGCTAAATATCAGTATCTTCAAAGATAGGGTCATGTCCTGGCCCATCTCTAAGTAGTGTTTTAGGAGTTTCCTCACTTCTTATTCCCACTCCCTCCCACCTTTTTTAATTTATTTATTTTTGTTTGTTTGTTTTTCTGCTGTAGTATTGGGGATTGAACTTGAAGCCTCATGCATGTTAAGCAAGTACTTGTTCTACCACTGAGCTACATCCCCAACCCTCTCCCATGGTTTCTGTTCTGCTCTCTGACATCATCCTTAACTAAAACCTAGCTCCTCAAAGGCTCTTGGCTGCTGCTTCTCCCACACTCCAGACCTCGGGATGAGATAGGGAGGTCAGTTTCCTTGTTCTCAGCCTCTATGTCTCCAGACTATTGATTATCCTTCTTCAAGTAAAAAATCTTCCTGTGGGTAGCACACACCTGTCATCCCAGCTACTCAGGTAGCTGGAGGTTGATCACAAGTTTGAGGTCAGCCTCAGCAACTCGGCAAGATCCTCAACAGTTGTTCAGCTGTTGAGTTTTGTTGTCTTAAAAAAAAAAAAAAATGGGATGTAACTCAGTAGCAAAGTGGCCCTAGGTTCAATCTCTAGTGCCATGGTTTTTTTTGTTCTGTTTTAAATCCTCTTCCTATAAGGCTTATGCCATTTGACAGCCACCATCTTCTCTGTACTGGCACCTGCACATGCCCCTTCAATTTGAAAACCCTGGTTTAGGCTCCTTGCCTCATCTTGTGCCTTCTCCATAGGCATCATGATTAATACCTTTTTTTTGGGGGGGGGGGTGCTGGGAATTGAACCTAGGGCCCTGCATGCTAGGCAAAAATTCTACCACTAAGCTACACCTCCAGCCCTTTTGGGTTTTTGT